ACAATATGAGAAGACTTTAGTGTTGGGGCCAGTGTTCCCACTTGGAGAGCTCTGCACAGGTGAAGCATCTCTTCCAGCTTTACTCTGTACCTCATAAGTGAATTCCTCTATTGCTGGGTCAGACCAGTGCACCAGAACAGACACATCAGGCCCCATTGCTCCCACAACAGAATTGCCCTTGCAGCAGCCCCAAGGCTCTGTGGTTCAGAAAACAACATAAACCAGCTGTGCAGAGCCCTGTCACATTCCTGACAGCTGGAAAGTGGTCTCACTATCGAGGCAGGCAGCCCCCTCTCCGGTGGGCTGACCTTGGCTGGCTCTCATACCTCCACTCAGCCAGTCTTTCACTCCTCCTCCACAACAGAGCAGAAGCAGGAAATAAGATGAAAAAGTTCATGGGCTGAGATAAAGACAGGCACAACCCTTGGAAATTACCATCAAAGGAAAAGCAGACTAAAGGAAAAATAATTTAATTTATTGTAAGTTTAAATAGTCTAGGCTAGTGATAAACAAAGACAAAAATGAAGATGTCTTCTCCCACATTGCACCCTATGTTTCCAGCTTAACTTCTCCCAATTCCTCTATACCACAAAGCTTCCCTATGCAACACAGGTGCACTCTTGGAATCAGACAAGATATCTAAAGTGTGCTAGACAACTAACTTTAGGGACTTGAATTATTCTGCATTGAGAGTGTTCACTTTTTAAGAGAAACACAGCCAATGCCATTTGGAAGCTTGTGCAATATCCAAGACTTCTAGACAGCAAACCAGAGCAGGGCAGTGTTTGTGGAAGTCCTGTCCTGCTCTGAGGTAGCAGCTACAGCGCAGGTGAGACTTCTCACAACACATAAAGTGACACAAATTGTGTAGTCCTATTGCACCATTGAACCAAGTCACATCCTGAAGCCTCTTACTGTCATAAATTGGAAATTCCAGCTTCTTTCCAGCCCTAAATTCTTGAAACATGTATTTCCTCTCCCAGCTGAAGGGAGAGGGCTTATTTGCTTCATCTTTATCAGAGTGGCCATGGTCCTCAGATGCCACTAATGCAGTAGGGGGAAAATTGATAAATAAAGTTGCCATTGATAAATTCCTAAGTTAAAAGCTGCATGTAACATGCAAAGTCCTTTATTAAGTCATGATCTCAAGACCTCCTAAGTCAATCTAACAATGTTCTGAAGTTCAACAATACAGTTTGGGGTTTTTTTTTATTTTTTATTCACTTAAAAATTAACAACAATCCAAGTCTCCATACTTCAAACAAAAGGTTCTATAGGTACAGAGTCTTAGTGTCTCAACAAATTTGAACACTTTCTAAATGAACAATGTTATTCTGTGATCAGTAGCAGAGAATGTCATTTACTTATTGCTATTTAAGTTGGTAGCTCAAGGAAATAATGAGGTACCTTAGATTGTGTTCTTGAAACTGTCTCAAAAAGTTAGCTAAGTAATGGAGGAAATCCAATTCCTGCATCTGAATCAGGCAGTACTAGCTTCTTCAGAGATGGCTGAAGAGGGAAAATTTAATTGTCCAAGAGAGAGAATACCACTGGATTAAGATCTTCCTACAGCTGGCAATTCTTACTTTGAATTTAATGCTTGTTAAATGATGATCTTTTGACTAGAAATTCAATGAATGCTCTCCCCTGAAAGCTTTTAAAATTGCACTCACTCAAACACTGACCTCCCTGTTCTACTTTTCATGTAGGGTCACAGCAGAAAGTTCTTTGTATATCCCCAAATTTAAGAAAGACGGGCTCAGAGGCAAAGCTGAGATGCTTACCACATTTTTTTGCTCAGGTTAGCAAATTTAGAAAATTTGAGACAGTCATTATAATCTGGTTTAAAATATTCCAACTCGTTTTTAACCTCCCTCCTGTTTGTTTTTTTTGGGGTTTTTTTTGTTGTTGTTTGTTTGTTTTGTTTTGTTTTGTTTTCCCCCCACCTCTAGTATTAGTTGATACAGCATGGTGAAAAAGTGTGGATGATTGTAGGGAGCAAAACAAAGTATATGTTAAAAGCTGAAGAAACTACCATGTGGGGCCAGTCTGTCATCAGCTCTGCTGGGTTTGAATTAAGGTATTGACATATCAATGAGTGGAAGTGAGTGAGGGAAGCCCAGACACTCCTGTGTTTCTGTGTGCAGGAAATACCTTCGATTTAACTTGTTCTTTCCAAGCTTCTAATTTCACAGGCACCAAATCACTGATTTGTTTGGTAACTTCTGAACTTTACTTGATCATATTGACTTTTGATTTATAAAGCTCGGTTTCATTTGTGTCCTAGATAATAAGAATTGAAGCATGAAAGTTAAATGAAATTCCCAAAAAATCAATTTGTTGTTTAAATGAGCAACAGAATAACAAGTTCTGCTTGAATTGGAATAAGCTTTAGATCAAGTGGAGATGAGCATCTTTCCAGAGATGCAGTGTACCAAGAGGTATTTTGATGGAGTTCAGTAATAGAAAGACCAAGGGTTCAGTAGGCTTAGTGAGCTCAATCACACATAGACACATCAGATTATAAATAGGGAGAAAGTGGCAGTAATCTTCTATTTAAGAGCTTAACATTTGAATCGAGACTCTGAAATAAAGCAAATACAAAGAGTGACAATTGAGAAAGTTCAAGGCATTCCTCTTTCCAAGGTGTTTGGAAAAGGTATGTTGAAAAATATCTATTTTGCTAAGAGATTCAAAACAGTGGCTTGGTTATGCATTTTTGTCAGAAATCTAAAATGAAAAATTACATGTACTTGAGTCACTTGAAAGCACCATACTAGTTTTGTATTTGATGGAAATCATTGGAAGAATACTGGAAATAATGAATTTAGCTTATACCCTAGATGAGACACTTTTTAAAATGACTGTGTCACCCACATTTTTATGGTTCTGAATTAAAATTAAAATCATGCTACGATGAACTACATCCCAAGGTACTTAAATTCGGTTGTTCAAGTTAAGCTCAATTTCGGAGTGTAATACCAGAAAAATTCCACTGGGAGTTATTTAATTTTTTTATTCAGGTTCAACATGTATGAGAATACTTATAAAGCTATTTAAAATCAATCAAGTGAATACAGTGCTCATCAGAGGTGAGCAATTTGCATTCCACATGTCTGAGGTTTCACTTAGCTTCATGGCTTTTACACAACTGACTCTGTGGTTATATTTCTGGTGTACACTGGGATACATCACTGCTATAGTTGAGTGAGTAGTTCATCACTTCCATCAGGAGCATTCAAACCTGTTGTGAAAAGTTACATATCCCATTTGAGAGTATAACATAACCCCTGGTAGTGGAAATTCTATATCCTAGTGGTTCTCAGTCCTTTTTCACGTGAGACCCAAACATCACATTTGTTTCTGCATCTTGTCTGTTTCATTTTCATGAGGTGGAATGTGGGATAGAGACTGGCAGGAAATCTGGCATGATAAAAAAAAACAGGGAAGTGACATTCATGTCTTTACAGGTCAGATACTGAGTGAAGTGCATACTTTCTGGAGAGGTGGGAAAGTGCAAATTAGACTTTGCTTCAGCAGTACTCATAATTAAATGGGCTGTAGACTTTCTAAGCAAGTGGTGTTTGTCATTTTGTGTGCTTCAAGTACCATCAGCTCAACTCTGCTGTCAGTTCCAACAATAGGCACTGGGGACTTTACTCTGATGGTGAGGCAGTGCAATTATATTTCCCAGACACAGATGGATTTCAGCTCCCCCCCAAACCAAATATTTGCTTTATTCCTTTCCAGACTATGAAAATATAGAACAATTCATAATGTGAAAATTGAGCTTCTAAAAACTCTGTTCCCAGTATTTGGGCTACGACTTTGAAATTAAAAAATAAATGACAGCTGTCTTCACTCTGCACATGTGTTTACTCATACATTAGTTTGCACATTTGAATAATTACAGTAGTTAAGGGGATTATATGCATACTGTTAAATCTGTTAATTTTCGCATGAGAGGGTTGTCATGCTAGATACCATGTGTTTTTATCATCAGTAAAAGAGGATAAGTTTTCTTAGGTTAAACCTTCCAGTACATATTCAGAGTGTCTGACATACCCACAAGGGTCAAAATCAAATGATGTTTTGAGTTCTGCAGAAAATCTCTCACTTCAACTTTTACATTACTGTGGAAGCTGCATATATGGGAATGTGAAGAGATAACTCCTAATGCAGGATGCAGTAATTGGAAAACAATTACTTATTCAGTCAAACAGCTTAAAATATTTTCTGAAGAAAGTTAACTTCTGAGTAGCTTTCATTACTTCTTTACTTGCAAAATATATCTGTTTATATGCCTGGTTTCTTGGACTATTTTTAGGTTATTGCTAATGTACTGTAGGTGCCTCTGAGATTTTATTGCTCTTTACCTTATGAAGAATGCTCAAGAAACTTTAATGTCAGACTATAAACTCACAACTCACCCCCAGTGAGTTTTTCCCTTTAGTCTTCACAAGTATTCTGTCCACTTGCACTTCATTTTGATGATAGCAGTAGCATCCATTTAATTTCCATATGTAAAATCCAGAGAATTTTCAGTGTGGTTTTTTGTTGTTTTTTTTTTTTCCCTGTAGTATTGTAGTTCTCAAGGTGAAGTCATAACTGATGTAGTTTGCACATATGGGTTTTACACTTCCACTTGTATCTCAGGGCTTGTCCCCACTGTCTTTAGAGATCTGACACTGCTTCTATGGCAGCTTTGGCCATGGTGCAAAGTAAAAAGTAGGAAAAAGCAAGAAAATTGAGACAAAAAATAGTTCCCATGTGAGATAATCTTTTTCTTTCACTGCAGGTCACAAAGACAGAACAGATAGCTCAAGTCTGTTTTGCAAGCCACTGGAACATTGTGTGTTGAGCTTTTTCTCCTTATTCTAAAAGGGAATAGGAAAGAACTGAGAAAAAGATAACAAGGGTCCAAAGATATTGAAGGCTTTTCTACAGGAAGCAGCGGAGTAGGTGAAGATTTTTTTGTACTCAAAGCAAAAGATCTTCTATAAAATTATGAGTATCATGGAAGGCATAGGTAGGACTCAAATTTTCATCATTCTTTTTAAGACAAGAACTACTGATTGCCAAATAATGAGAGTAGAAGTAATTTTCATATAAACAACAAAAGCAGTGGTTTTACACAGAATGTGTGTTATCACTGGGGGCCTTCCTGTAAAAAACTGCTGTGTACAGCCAAAATTGACATTGGTTGAAGATCTCACTAGACAAGCGCATGACACACTGAAATTCTCAAAAAATTCTAAAATATGCAGGATAACAGCCAGTTCAGAAACTCCCCTTAGCTGAAAAGAGTTGGAAGGTGTAATAGTATTAGAAAAGCAATCATCTGCACACTGTTTTCTTGCAGATCTCTATGCATGGATTTAGAGTCATGGCTCCATGTGATTAATTTCTTCTGGAAAGGCATCAGCTCCTTCCTAAAAAACAAACAAAAAGAGTCTGCTTAAAAGAATGTAGGCAAAATAAAATTATTTTGAAGATTGGTGAATAATGGTGGTGAAGATCATAGGCTCAAAAGTGTAAAAGATCCCCCATAGTTTGTGAAGACGACAAAGTTGCCAGGTGTCAGACAACCTGACATCATCTCCTTGTTTCCAAAGGCATCCAAGAAGCTGGTAGAAAGTCCCTGGTCATGTTCTGCCTGGCATTATGTCAAGACACAAGAACAGCAATGTACCAAATACCTGTCTTCCCTTTCCTGATGCAATGGGTGTTTGGCTTGAGTAAGGTCAAGAAGGGTGTGCTGAGGAGTGCCAGAGGTTAAACAGAGTTTTGTATGAAAAGTGAAGGGCAAAGTACAGTGAGAACGTCAAGAGATTTTGGAGAAGCATTAAAATTGACTGTAGCCTAGGAAACTCAATGTGTATGTGTGTAAAACAGAAGTAAGGCAATCCCAGTGCAATCCCATGGCCCATTCCACTGTCATTCATCTACACACTGATTTATGTAGACAGTTACTTACATAAATGGGCACCGTTGGTGAACTCTTGATATGAGCCAGTACAGGTGCCTTTACAGTGTAAATGGGAAAATTCAGTAAGTGAGATAACATTCAGAAATGCACAGGAAGGAATATAAAAATTAGCAAGTGATTTTTAAAGTTATCTTTACATGTCTTTATTTTGAATTTTGAGCCCCTTGCAGACCTGAATTTTCCATAAGGATTCCACATGAGTGATCTTTGAATATATGAAGACTTACCACAGCATGTGACTGGATACACCAAATGTCTTCTGTCAGAGATCTGAATATAAATTCAGGATATACAGTCACACTGCAGCAGAGTACATCAACATTTCAGTTGTTCAATGGAAATGAGCTTGAGACCTGCCACCTTCAGTTCTTCCACAAAAGGCTTTTCTTTGAATCCAGCTGAAATACAGTGGTGTGAGATGTGATAAATGTTAGAATTTTTATAACAACCAATACATGACAATGTCAGATTACTTTTACTTTCTGAACATATCAATTTCTTGTTTTCTTCTTGTCTCCACTGTGATTAGTGGTGCTGGTATGCTTTGTGTTTTTTCTTTGCAACATACTTCAGCTCTTGTATATATAGAAAATGGATGGGGAAATAAAATATCCCTGGAAGTAAAAGAAATTCCTGCTGTGGCTTAAAAAGTAGAACCAGCAGCTACTGCAATGTAAGCAATGTGCTGATATTTTTGCATGACCTCATATACATAACCTTGACGATACTCTGAGCATGATCCAGGTTTCAGACTGAGAGGAACCACCCTGATTTCAGAGGATTTCTTCAAAAAATACTTAAAGACTATTGCAACCAATTCTGCTCAGCAGGAAGTCTCATTGAGCTGGAATTTTTAACATTCAGTACACTGCAATTAGCTCAAAATATGAACAAGTTTCCTGTGGCAATTGAAAATACAACTTTCAAACAAAGGAATGTTTGCCTTTAGTGGATAAACCACCATGCCAATTTCCCCATTCACCATATAGCTGTAGCTTAAAATTTCAGTGAAGCAATGCTTCTAGCATTAGACTGTTTCAGAATCTGTTGGACCTCAGCATATTAGATTTCTGATCTATCAGATAATGTCAAGGCCTGTGAAATCCGTTTCTCCTATGCAAATACACTCATCTTCAATCTTTGTTCCCAAATCCTAATAAAAAAGCCCTTATTCCAGGTTTATTTTTTGCTTGGGTATGGGTATTTTTAACCTAGATTCTAAATGCAATAGAGTCAACCCTTCATTATTTCTTCTTTAAAGTCTTACTCAAACACTGACCTTTAAAAGTTCTAACTACAGCTACTTTTGCAAGGCCTGCACTTTCATGAAACAAAGCTCACTCTGTTCTCTGCTGGAAATATCGGATTCAGGCCTAAATTGGCAACCTAGTTCCTTTTCTTATAAGATTTAACTCTACTATTAACCACAGACAGGTGTCCAATACCTATTAAAAAAGCTTGTATAAATTATGGACCTCAGCAGAAATCAATCTGCACTCTCGTCTGCTGGGCTGCACAATAGCCAAGAAAAACAACAAACTCAGAACATGCTGGCAAGTAAACTCTTCTTTATGTTTAATAGCACTTACAGGTGACTATAAAATCAATACCAAAAATTTTGACTTGTTATGAGCTGGATTTATGATGGTACTTCACAAGTAACCAGAAAGTGGTACTAATTTTCCTGTCTCTAATTCTAAATCTCAAAGTTACTTGTTGTCAGAGGAATATTATGCAGACACTGATTGTTGACTCTTGGAAAACACAGCCCCCATCCTTGCCTTCTGAGCTATAGAAGAGACAGCTGTACATTGAGTTTCTTGGTAAACTAACTTGCCTACATTTGGCTTGTCTTTTTTCAAGGACTGACAACCTCCCCTCTCCTACCTGTCCCACTGCCCACATGTATTCTGAGAAATTTTGTCTGTGACGGTCCTGTACTTCAGTTCTGATGCGCCCAACCTCTAACCCTTAGCTGTTATTCAAACCATTGCATCAGATGTGGGGTTAAATGAAATAACATTACTTCACAGGAATATGTAACTACCACAGGACAGAAGAAAAAAAACAAACCCTGAAGTCTTGCAAGGGCAGTATGGATTTCCAGGTTTCTGCCACTTCCACCTTGTACTCAGAAAAAAACATCAGGTTTTCATCTGATCTCTGGCCTGTGCTAAACTTGTAACAGATTGGCTTTGCCGATCCCTCCAAACTATGCACAAACTCAGCCATGGTCAACCATTGTCCTAGAGACAGTAACACCATTAATTATCCAGTTGGGTTGTGTCTCCACCATAACATCTGTAAGTAATTGCCTGCAATCTAGATAATCCTACAAAGAGATAACTGGCAATTAGTTGTGTGTTGTGTCTTTCATCCTCTAGTACTTCTCTGGCTGCGAAGGAATCACAAAGGCACTCCAGGGTCAGAATAGGTGGGTTTACAAAAATATATGGTCCTCATTCCATGATTATCCCCTAAATATGTGGTCCTCATTCCATAATTATCCTCTAAATGACATAGCTCCTTTCCCAATGCTTATTCCTCTCACAATATCCAAACATTATGCTCCAGACTGCTAAGTATGTATAAAGGCATTAATTTTTTAAGCAGAGTTATGTTTGGCTTCTATTTGCTTTTATGGAAGTCCTAAGAGTTATTATGTTACTGTATTGAAGAAAAAAATAAAAAATAAAAGAGGGAAAAAAAAAAGGATTTAGAATAGTTTACTCCAGTAAGAGACTGAAATCAATATTGTTTATATGGGCATGAATGTTATTGACTGTGTATTTACAATAACCTCCAGAGAGTAACTCTTAAACTATTAAACCTCCTTGCAAAGTATACAATTTCATAAATCTGACTAAACATTTTGCAATAATAATTAAATTAATTACTAGAAGAAAGCAACATATTTGATAGTTTTTATCCCTTTGGAAAAAATTAAACATTCCACCACTGACTTGATTCAAAGAGCCTGTTTTCTCCAGCCTCCTATTTGCAACTGGAGAAATACCTTTTTATTTCTGGAAGAAAATACTTTACAATGAAACATAATCCAAACAGAATTAATCTGAAGACAACTGGTTTAACTTGTATGGAATATTATTTACAATGTCATTGATAGAGACCAGCTCAGAAACATGCACCCAGATGTCATTGTTTGGATATAGAACATTTATATGTGACTAAGTAATTAATTTCCCTATCCCCCTTAATCCCAGATTCACAGGGAAATCTGGGCTGAAAATGAGTGTTCAAGAGCTCCCAGAAACAAGATAGCTGAGGAACACTTTTCACTATTTCATTATGTTACACAGAGGTGCCCACTAGGGAACATTGTCCACATGCAAAAGGTATTTTCAGTAGGTCACTGTTACAAACAGTGTGTCGAGAAGACAAACTAATAAAAATGAAAAAGAGGTTCAGAGACATGAGGTGTTGAAGATTCACAATTTGATAGTGGCAGAACTGGGGACCAGGGCTCAGGTCTGATGAGTTGTCCTGTGTCTTAAAGAGGAGAATATATGATTTAGCCTTACATTTTGTGTGAAAGATATTTCAGGAGAAAATAGTCATTGGGAAAGATCTAAATCTGTGAGAAGTGTCTGTTGAGTTCTTTTGAGTTTGGGTTATTCATGAAATATTAAAGACTTCAGTTATTTCATCTCTATCTAAGAATTGAGAAGATTGATTAGTTGCCACTTTGCAACTGAAATCCATTTTCATTTAACACATGATTCCCATAATTTTCCTGGATGTGACCCTGGCCAGGCTCATCTACTGTCATTCAAAAGACCTATGGATTTTCCTGATCCAAGATCTCTGAAAACTAAAGGAGATCATAGAGCCTCTTGAGAAACCAACTTTGCTGATTAATCGCTTTCTTCTTTCTATTTTTTCCCCCCAACCATTTCCACAGCCATCAAAGTATTAAAAAAATTTAAAAAAAACCAAAACAGTAATATTTTGGACCTAATAACAGTAAATCTTAGGTTTAAACCTAAGGCACAAGCAAAATTTTGGTTTGGATAGTAGAGAAAAAAAATCAAGTTTTTGGGAAATATAAAATAGATAATTGCAGACATTTATATTGGGTTAGCAGGGCAAGAGAGAGAGACAAATTAAAGATTATCCCAAAAGTAAGGTTGTGGCTTAACCCTGATCTCATTTAGTACTTAATCCACAGAAATTTTCTTTCTTTGTGTTTTACCAGTCTTTCTCATTTTTTTCTTTCTGGGTAGGTTATTCTTATTTCCCAGCAGACCCATCACCTGCAGCTGTAGCTTTAACCTTCCTCCTTCATCTCTAACTTTTTTTACTTGGCCTTAAAATGGGAAAAGGCTGTAATTCTGATTCATAAATGAAAACTGTTAGGGAGAGCAGAGCATAACTTAAGGCAATAAAAAGTTCCTGGCATTCATGCTCTCTAAAGACACAGACATCTAGACTTCTTGTCTGCTGTTGCATGAGAGGGAACAAAAGCAGTCAATAGTGTTAAACATTAAGAAGGAGTGACTCAGTTGCAGGATTCCTGGAATTAAGACTGGATGAATATCGACCAAGCAAAATACAAGCATGACAGAGCAGCAGTATCTTGCAAACAATATAATTTGACTAAGTGGCAAACAGAAAATTATTCAATTTCCAAGTAATGTCAGAGACCAGGTTTTTAATTAGCAAGAGTATGAATAGGAATGCATAATTTATCCATAGGTTCATCTGATGCACAGTTTTGATCCCAAGGGTTTTGTTGATAAAATTCCTACTCTTGCACTGTCAAAAACATGTGTATCCTCTACACTTTCTATTATCAATTTTATTGTCCTGCTAAATTCCAATGTTCACCTTCATATGCTTGCAAGGCTTTTATGTGTTTGCTTACATTATAATTAAATGTTCTGTATTCCTTGCTTTTCAGTTCTGACTTACAATTACTCTCTTCAGTGCAATTACTCCACCACATACATTCAGTCAAATGTGTTATTCTGTGCATATCCAAATTTTATTAAACAAGGGTAAATGTGTGGTCAATTACACTACCACTCATACAATTGCATCTGTTTTTAAAAGAAGCTCTTGAGCCTCTAGTGTGCTTTCAGTGGTATGAATTGCAGACATATAAATCCCCTTTTCTATCAGTTCTTGTAGTCTGCCTGTTAATAATGGCAAGTTAATTGAATATAGGAAAAACAAACAAGCATACAAACAAACAAGCTTTGAGTTAATGATTTCAGATGGTGATAAAGTTAATAGACAGAGTATTCCTAGTCTTCCTGAAGCTCGTAGATGCCAGTGTTAATTATCCAACACAACTTCACTTTCTCATTATTCTTTTTTGAAGTATTTCATCATAACAAAGCAAAAGAGAAAGTTTGGGTGAATTCCCCATTGTCTAGCTATTAGAAATAGTTTTGTTGGAAGCTGTTATCCTGTACATCCCACAATTTAATCCTATTGAAAATCCTCTTTTGAAAATCAAGCTCTAGAGAGCAAAACCAAATTAACTGTAACACTAACTTGGACATCTTGAGAGTATTTTAAAAGGCCCTATAATTTGATTTCTGGTGTCTGATCTTTGCAATCCCATGCATGTCTCTTAAAGTCGAGTTCATTTTGGTTTTTCTTTCATAAGATTTTTTTTGTTTCTGATGTAATCTCCAACTGCTGCAGAGTGCAAATTCAGAAAAAAAAACATTAGCAGTCGGATTAATCTTACTTGAGTTTAGTTAGCTGTAAGTCAGCTGTCTAGGAAAACAGTAGAGAGAAACAAACACTTCTACAAGGCAATACAAATCCTGCTAAAAAACCCAACACATTTATGGCAAGATTATTCAGCACCTCTAGGAATACCTATCCTTCTTTCTGTTAAAGGAAGGGAGTCTAAACCTTAGCTTTACAGAAGTTACAGTCCTGGTGTAAAACTAGATACTATGCATACAACCTCACACAAAGACAGAGTGATTTAATGCAAGATTTTATGCTGAATAGATTGGAATAATTTTGCATTTAATGCTATATTCTCAGAGAATGGATGAGCATTTATGCCACTTCTTGTTTTTTCTTAAACTTTGCAGAGAATCCTTTGCCAGAGTATGACAGAATACAGACATCACCTTAGTTTTTAAAGTAGCTATTCATATTAAATGGAAATTTTCTAAAATAAGCAATAAAACACAAAGATATAAAACCTAATTTATATATAGTCCAAATCAGGTTGAAATAACATCTAATGAATTTCATCCTGAAGTAAATTCTTATCGTCAGATTTAACAGCCTTTTATAAACTGGATTTATGCTCAGTGGGCTAAATTCTCCTTTCCATTAATTTTCATGAATACTGTTTGCTGCAATGTAAATGAGAAGAGAATCTGTCTCCAAATGCCTAGAGGTCTTTATTGGGAGTTTGCTGATGATGCATACAAGGATACTAAAACAATGTAATCTTCATCTAAGCATAGCCTTAAAATTAGATAGCAGTTAAGATATGTCCTCTTTTATTCTGCTGATTTAGAAAGTGGAATACATTTATTGGAAGAAAGGATGCAGATTAAAAGTCAATGAGATTTTATTGAATCGTGGATAATTATTTTCCATTGTTTTACCATTATTTCTTCATTTAGGAAAAGACGATGATTCAAATAATATTATCAGCTCAGTGGCTTTATATTCCATATATAAGGCAAGAAATTGGAATAAATACAAAATTTTCAATCATGAACCTTTCACTTCCAAGCTAATTTTCTTTAAAAAATTGATGCTACATAAATACATAATAAAATATGTACTTTTATCAATAGGATTAGTGCATATATGTATTTCAACATAAATATGCCATTAATAGACATCAACATTGATATCCTGGCAAGAGATGAAAGCTGTTTGAAAGTGATGTAGCTTGAAAGTTGTTGAACACTTTGAAAACATCTCCTATTTTTTTTTTTTTTAGCATCCAAGGAGTACATGTAATAGAGAATATAAGAGAAATAAAGTAATAGCCAAGAAAAAATTAGTTTAAAAGATCTAATGAAATCTAATAAATTATGTAAATCCATAAGGTTTCTCTGGTAATTGTGGAATAAATGTGTAAAGTGATATGATTTTAAAATTATAGCTACCAGTAATTACTTTGGGGTTAGGAAGAAACTTACCATGTATGGGTCTGATTTATCTTCATATTCAAGGTACATGAACTAGAAATTGGCTCAGGATAAAATATGAGAAATAAGTGTTAATGTTAATCACAATGTCATTTCCTATGTGGTAGAAAGACCCAAAATTTCATTCCACCCAGAGGCTTTTAGTCATCTAGAAGTGATTATGAAAATCTTTAATGATATTAATAAATATTTCCTTATACTGCCTTATATTTAAGGAGCTCCCTTAAGGTTCTGACTAGAAAAAAATCCAATCTATATTTCTCTAATTAAGCAACATCCATTGTGACTCATATTATAATTGTTCTTCTCCAGAGGTGCAAGCAATATTTTATAATATACAAATCAGTGCACATCAATGCAAAAGAAAATCCATGACTTGTGACTGCCCCAGTTTTCCACACTCATTTATTTCAAAAGACTTTTCTCATCATAATCTTTCTTGCCCTTTCCGGCTTTATATTCATGTCTGTAGCAAGTGACCATCCATGCCTATATAAATTTCTTTTTCTGGTGCCAGAAGGAAGACTTTAAATAAAATGAAACTGCCAGAGAAGCTCTATTTTGCACTATTTAACTCTTCTGTAGAATAAAAAAGTCTTCCAAGAACTTAGTAAGTCAGTTAAGCATTATCCATTTTGAAAAAGAATGTAGAAAATATAACTAGCTTTCATTTTCACAGTATTATTTAACTTCTAATTTTCTTTAGTTCAAAATAATACTTTTGGAGTAGGAGAACATAATGCCACAGCTACAATGATGATGAAAACTATATATGAATTGAAGAAGAAAGTGTTCTCTTTCTTTTTCTTTTTCTTTTTTTTTTTTAGGGATTCTGTTAAATGCATTAGTTTCTCAGAGTTTTGCTGAAGCTTCAACATAGAGCATGACTTACAAAAATGTTTACAGGCACATTTTCCATATAGCCTTGCAAATGAAACTACTTTTCTTAAGCAACAATTTCCAGCTAGAAGATGAAAATATGTACAGTCCATTTCATCTTAGCAACACAGCCCCAATAACATGGCAAACCACTTGATTTCCTTGCTTCACAACTCAGATGTTTCCTTACTGAAAATAATTTCCATATCACAAATTTGGCACAAATTAGTACCACAATTTTGGACACAAAATACTCATGATATGGGAAAATTATTTCTGCAGCAACAACATAGGCAGGGTCAGGAACTGTATCTACCCAATCCTGTTCCAGAATGTCTGATTACCATTTCCTCTCAGCTTTTCTGTTTCCCAACATACTGTGCATGCGAAAAACTGATAAGAACACAATGAAATACAAAAAAGCCCCCCATGATTCTGTTGCTTTGGAATAAGATCCATGCATGCACTAACACACATGACTAATATTGTCATGTGCTAGTGAAATACAGGGGGATTTGGCTAACCTTGATGCAACTTTCTTTGTGTTAACAAAGATTCAGGGTAAGTTGGACTCAGAGCCTGTGGAGAGTGGTAAATCCTTCCAGTGGATAATTCATCCTGGCTAAGATAATTACTTAAGGACACTGGTTTCACTGGGAGTTGAACCTGTCTTAAATGCTAATCTTATTTCCCCCCCGCCCCCAATCAAAACATTTCAGTAGCAGATCTAGTACTTGCCATTCATTTCCAATTTGGTGAAAAAAATAAAAATCTGTTTAAGTAAAAAAACACTGCAAGGAAAAAGGCATAAATCCTGGGATGGGAATGGGAATGAAAAGCAGTGGGAACATTACCTCCCATGGAGAGAGGCTGAGAGAGTTTGGGCTGTTCACCCCGGAGAAGAGGAGGCTCCAGGAGACCTTGTAACAACTTTAGTTGTTACAAGGGGATTATAAGAGAGCTGGAAAGGATTTTCGCAAGGAAATGTGGTGATCAGAGAAGACAGAATGGCTTTAAACTGACAGAGGGCAGGTTTAGATTGGATATTAGGAAGAAATTCTTCACTGTGAGGGTGGTGAGGCACTGGAATGTGTTGCCCAGAGAAACTGTGGATGCTCTGTCCATAGAAGTGTTCAAGGCCAGGCTGGATGGGGCTTTGAGCAACCTGGTCTAGTGGAAGGTGCCTCTGCCCGTGGCAAGGGTTTGGAACTAGGTGTTCTTTTCAGTCCCTTCCAACCCAAACTAGAGGCTCAGAGGGGACCTCATTGCTCTCTACAACTGCCTGAAAGAAGGGTATAGCCAGATGGGAGTCTATCTCTTTTCCAAGTAACAAGTGATAAAGTAAGCAGAAATGGCTTCAGGTTGTGCCAGAAAAGGTTTAGATTGTATATAAGGAGGAAAATTATTCACATAAATAATGTCAATAATGTTCACTGTCAAGCATCAGAAGAGGCTCCCCATGAAAGCGGTTGAGTTGCCATCCATGTAGTGCTCAGAGATGGTTTAGTGATGGCCTTTGCAGGGCCAGTTTAACAGTTGGACATGATGATCTTAAAGGCCTTTTTTGATCTATATGATTCTACATGTGGGTCTTAGCAGGTGCTGAAGTCTGTCTTTAAAAACATCAGTGCTATTTATGAGAAAAGCATAACCAGGACTAGCCTTTGAGCTGTGAAACCCCTGTCAGGGAAGAGCTTTAACATGCAGGACAAGTTTTTGTTCATACAGTTATGGCATATCTTGGATGAGGAGGCCTGAATACCCTACAACTTTGCTCACAAACATGAAGTCAAAATTCAGTTTTCCTTAACAGAAGCACTTGAAGTACAAAACTCATCAGGAGCTGGATAAGCCAAATCTACAATAGGATCTCATCCCATACCTCAAGTGTTGCTAATGCTACAAATTCTAGACCTTGCAGGAGAGAAAAGGATTCTGTCAATGCAGTCAGCTCTAACATTCTCTTAAAAATATGTTTTGATGTGCCGGGTACTGCAGGATAGCCTTTAATTATACTACTATGCAACTTAAAAGTCATGTTCTGAAAGATGGCCTGGAGCCACTAGAGCTTTCTCAGATGTGAGATTTGTGCTGTACCTCTAAGACATATAAATTGTGCTATTTAAGAAAAAGCTAATAGAAAAGGACAAGTTGGTTTTTTTTTTTTGATGTTAGACCTTTCCTGCAATAAACTAGGCAATAATACAGAGCCAATGTATCATCACTCATCAGCCTCAGATTGGTCCACAAATCATTCACAAACATCATGTCATATGCTAGGGGTGCCCTGGCTCAGATAACTACTACATTATATGAGAAATTAATCACTTTTTTTTTTTTCCCAAAACCCATTGCATATAATGAGTTTCTTTGCATTGCAGCATCTAGACTATTTTTATCACAACATTATTCATGAAAAATGTGAAATAAATAAGTACTACTGTTCCCTGTTTCGCAGAGCTGCTGTGGTGTGCCTGACTGTGATTTCAGCTCAGATAATTTGAAGCAGAGGTAGCAGAGGTGGGTATTGGCCATGGTGTTTAAAAATACATTTACCAAAGCGTAGGTTACAAACCAAGATATAATTCTATTAAGTCAGGTTTGTAAAATAATCTCAAGTGGATAGTTCTGTGCAAAATGATGTCCTTGTTAGGCCTTACATATTATGTTTTACCTGCTCACCGACACACTTCATTTTCCCCTCTCTTTCTTTATGCTCTGCAGAGGTCTACTGCGCAAACAGACTGAACTGCAACTTCTCTGTCCATACTACTACTAGTATTACTACTACCAAAAAAGGAGAAAGTGAGATGAAGGTCAAGCTGAATAAGAGGGCAAAGGGATTTATGCATACAAACACATAGTCCTGCTTTTGACACCATGCATACCAAGACAAAACTGACGCAACTTAGAGGAGTTATTCTAGATTTGCATTTGAATGAGTACATAAATAAGTGAGTGTCATGGTTTTAAAGCAGTAACTAAAAAAAAAAATAAAAATACTAGAAAACTTACTTTTTTCTTGCTGTGAGATGTGACAGCAAAACAGGCTTAAAACTTAAAAGGAATAAAGAAAGTTAATTAACAAAAGTACAAGAATAAGAAAACTAAAATAAAACTTCTAGAAAAGCCTTTTTTTCCCCACTACTGACTATTCTTTTGTTTACATGACAACATAGAGACAACAAACTTTGGAGCTTTGGTGTTTAAACAGTGCCCAATTCTTGCTAGAATCTTTTCATCAGTCTCTGTAGAGACACAGAAGTCTGCTTCTGCTAATCTATGGAGTTTCTCACAAGAAAATTATTTCTGTTATAGCTTTCTATTTTTCTGATGCCAGCTGCCCGGAAATCTGTCATCAGTTTACTCCTCCCATTTCACATCACTCTGAGGTGTGTGTTATGAGCCATGAGTCTAGGGATGTCATTTTTAAGGATGAGTCATTCAAAGGCAAAAGTTTTCTTCATCTGTCTCTGTGAGCTTCTCTGGAAACAGAAGTTTTCTCTTTGCCCTAAATGGCCCTAAATCTTCAGCTATTACTTCACCTCACTCTGTTCCAGCACCTCACTGTATCACAATTACTCCACCTTTTGCTTAAAATCCACACTTTGAACACTCTGTTCCTCCCAATATACTCTGTCATGAATTAAAGGAGTTTTTTCAGGACATTATTGTCCATCTCCATAACATTAACAGAAAAATATTTCAGCTGAATTGAAGCATCTCCTTATTCTCTTCCTTTTCTGAAGCTTAATTATTTTGTTTACTGTCTCTAATAGTTTATAAAGTCTCTTTACATGCTGATTCCTCTCTTTTTCTTTCTCTGGAAAAAAAGGATTAATCTGCAAGTCTCATCTGGGTAATGAAAAGGTTAAAACCTTGCCCAGGTTTTGTAGATGGTTCTGTGATCTCTGACGGAGCAGTGGCTGGAGCTGTCTGTGATGGAAGATTCTTCATGGCTGCTCTGGAGAGTGTGGTCACTGTCTCAGCCTGCTGCAGTTCAAGAGCTTTTTTCTTTCTTTACTCGGCAGTCTCTGGTGAATTCAGTCACAGCAAAACCTGCAGCCGAGCCAGGGAGCGGCCTGGCCCGGCCAGAGCCCGGGGCA